GTATTAGTATTAGTATTAGTATTAGTATTAGTATTAGTATTAGTATTGAAAGTGAATGCTTTCACATGAGCATGGAAATGAATGCCTCTAATCCCAGTACTTGGGATGCTGGAGCAGGAGGATCACTATTAGCTTGAGGATGGTCAAGGCTATATAATGAGTTCCAGGACAACCTGGGATAGACTGAGACCATATCTCAAAAAAGGGAGAAAATTTATATAGGTAGGTAGGTAGGTAGGTAGGTAGATAGACAAATAGACAGACAGACAGATATTACGTGCTTTAATAAAACAATAACTCAGGTGCTGGACATAGTGGCCTACAACTTTAATCCCAGCACTCAGGAGGCAGAGGCAGGCAGATCTCTGTGAGTTCAAGGTCAGTCTGGTCTACAAAGCAGGTAACAGGACAGCCAGGGCTACACAGAGAGACCCTGTCTCAAAATATCAAATAAACATATAAACGTATGAAAATAGGGGGGAAACTCAAATTAAATGGGAAAAGGTACTCAAACACCAGCATGTCTTCTTCTCGGCAGTTTTGTCCTTGCCAAACATTAGAGATTTTATTTCAGTGCTGAGAAGTAAATCCAGGCCTCATAAATGTGAAGAAAGTGCTAGAAAGCTGAGCTGTACCCCAGCCATGCTTCTATTCTTAAGACAGGGCCTCTCATAGCTTTCATTCTTGCAGGCCGGTGGCTCTCAACCTTCCTAATCCTGCGGCCCTTTAATACAGTTCCTCATGCTGTGGTGACCCCCCAACACAAAATTATTTCGTTGCTACTTCATAACTGTAATTTTGATACTGTTATGAGTCATAATGTAAGTATCTGATATGCAGGATATCTGATCTACAACCCCTGTGGAAGGGTAGTCATGGGGGGTCACGACCCACATGTTGAGAACCACTGTTCTAGTTGCGTAGAAAGAAGCACTCTACACTCAGGCAGGAGCCAGAGCTCTGGATCCGGGTCCGCCAGAGAGGAGACAGAGAGCGCAGAAAGGACCCACTGTGGAAGGCCTTCTTGTTATTTTTGAGAATCGATAGGAGATAATAGTAAATAAATCTTTAAAGAGAGAGAGAGAGAGAGACTCTTGCAACAATCTCCAGCAAGGGGGTCACCCCAGTGCTTCTCTCCCTGACAGGGAGAAGAAGAGAGTAAACTCCACGAAGCCCACGGGAACTCATCCGTGTCTACCTCCGCTGAGGCCACCTTTCATCCGATACGTGAGAACAGCCATTGTCACCACACTCTGGACCGTCATGTTCCAGCACAAGACTGACATTAGATTTACAGCTTTAGAAGGCCGATTGGAAGAAGTTGGCTCTAAAGGGCAGGCTCATAGGGAAACACATCATGGCCTTGGAAGAAAAGGGACTACCAGTGTAAGCCTTAAAGCAGCAAGAGCAGACATCGGCGTTCACCCAGTCTCTTATCCCCAGCCCAATAAATTAATCCGGTATTTACACTGGTAATTGCTAGGTTTAGCTTTGTTTTGTTTTCCCCCAAGAGTTTCTCATTTTTCTGGCTTCAGTTTTTGAAAGCATTCAGAAGGAGGAAGGGAATGGAATTCAATGACTAATTTAAAGCAGAAAAATCAAAGAACCCTAAAGGCATGAGCCACCCTCGTAAGAGACACATGAAACTGCAGAATGAAAAGGGCAGCTGAGGGCTCCTACCATTCGTAGCCTTTCTGAACTCCAGGCACCAGGGCAGATGCCTCTAGACATCACCTCATAGGACGGAAGCAGAGTAAAAGGTGGTCTTCCTCTTCTCAAGTGTGACAACGATGCTCTCATTCAAGAGTACACGCTCCTCCTTAATTACCATCTTGCCATAGAGTCTGGCTCTTATCAGGTGCCCTAGATGGTTGCTGACTTCACTGAGATGCCCCCTTGAGAGCTGAGGCGATTGTGATGCCAAGAGGAAAGTGGTTTGCTCAAACACTCTCTAAGCTTCTCTGTAAGCTTCTGAAGCTTGCCTTTTACAGCTCCTATCCCAGCTCACTTCCTCCTGACTGCCTGGGCAACTGAGCATGCTCCATGACCTCTATGCAGCAGGTCAGCCCAGGCCATGGCTCAGTCCTCATAACCACATGGCTTCACACTCCTGCTTCTACACAGACTTTTCCAAACTGCTTGTGAGAAGCAGCTATGTCTGCTCTCAAAAATGTTTACACCATAGGTACTTAAAAGCAGGGTTACGTTAATCAATCAACTTCATTCACAAATAAATGAAATGCCACTGGGAAGAGAGTCATCTATATGAAAATTACATTGGCTGCTTTGGAAAGATCTTAGGGGGAAAAAAAGGAAAGCTGCCAATTGAAGAGCTGTTGAATTCAGTTAAAAGATTAATTCTCTACTCAAATTGCTTCCAAGGTGCCGAAAAAAAAAATCTCATTTTACCTTCAAGAAACCCAAACAACAACAACAAAAATCACACAAGGTTTATGGATGTGGTTTGGGTGAATAAAGCCATACAGAACCCCAGTCACTGTCTTATACTAAGAGGAATAGAGAAATTCTTCGGTGGGGGGGAGAGTCTGGGAAAGGGGCCAATAAATACACATTTCCATTTTAATTGAAAATGCTACGTTCACAGTCTGAGTATTCCTACTGTGACGACCCACTTCCACCAGCTTTCACAAACCGATCCCCACGGTCTCCCACAAATCAGAGCAGATGCCCACTGCACTGGCTGCTCACCGAAAAGGTACCCAGTGTGTACCTGACACCCGCAGGGAAGTCGCTGGTAACCCATCCCAGAGGAACGGAGCTGAAAACGGACGGGGGGGGGGGGGGGAGAAAGCCCCTGCCAAGCGTCAGGTGGCAGTAGCGGGTACAGCGGGCCCCTCCTACCTTCTCTTCTCCTCCAAGGCCTGGCAAAACGGGGGGAGGAAGGGGAGTGGAATGGATTAGATCCAAGTCAGCCCCTCAGAGCCAGGTATTTTATTGGAAGAGTGTTAAAGGAGGCAAACACAGAAATGAACATCTGGCCTAGCACTGGATGGCTGACTGCTCAGTTTAAGGACCGGGGGCAGGGGGAGTAGTCTTCCCAGCTGCAAGAAGACAATGAGACAAACATGCGCCTTTCTATTTGTCTAACGCTTTGTTTTCTTTAACACACAAATGCAAGGAGAGAGATTAATTAGGTCCTACTCATTAGTAGTCTAAGCTTTGAAGGCAAAACAATCCGGTTCTAATCCCCTCTTCTGCGCTCGCTCGTGGCTTAGCCCTTTAGGCACTTGGGTATCTCGTATGTGGAATGCCGTTGCAGCGGTGTTACATGACATGTCAGGGTTACTTGACAAACTACAGGGCCAAGGGCTTCACCTAGCACCTGGCAGCGGAAGACGCTAGCTATTAGCTATACTTACCGTAGACATTCATTGTGAGAAAATCAAGGGAGAAAGAGAGAAAAGCACAAAGAACAAGACTGAAGTAGCCCATTGCCTCATCTCGTGGTTTACTTAAGAGCTAATGGTCTCAACTGTTTTCCTCCTCTACTACTGGTGTGTGTGTGTGTGTGTGTGTGTGTGTGTGTGTGTGTGTGTGTCCTCTCTCTCTGTGTCTCTCTGTGTCTCTGTCTCTCTGTACCTGTGTGCGTGTCTGTCTGTGTCTGTGTGTGCCTGTTTATTCAACCATCACTTCCTGTCTTTCCTGCCTAATTCATATTGTAAGCACACCCCAGTGGTGCTGACGGTATTTCAGTCTTGACTGTATTTTATCTCCATTTAAATGGCAATTTCTATTTGTTTGTTTGTTTGGCAATTTGCAAAGAACATACGGAAATATGAATTTCTACCTATTTTTCTGGTCAGCTCTTTAATATAAAATAAACTTTCTGTTCAAAGAACATGAACTTTGGGACTCTCCCACACAATATATCCATCCAAACCATTTTGCAGGACCAGACGGATGACCACTGCAACGAGGCGAATGCTCACTGCCCCGCCCTCCTCTTCACCCACCAGGTCCTTTCTTTTTCATTGCCATCAGGGGATAGCAGCCACACCTCAGGAAAGATGGGTGGAAGGAACTCCAGTTGTGTGAAATTTCGCCATCACATGTTCTTAGGGACAGACGACAGAGCTTCACTGAGGGTGGGAGCGGAGGCTGGTTTCCCTTTTTCTCTATCGCCATCTCACAGTGCACTATCAGGCAGGGTGAGGCTGAGGTCCCATTCCTAAGCTCCCCAGACCTTACTGTTAGCCTGCTGACACCCTCTCTGGCAAGCCCAGCACCCTCCCCAGCCTGCACCCTATACTCACAGCCGTTCCAACTCCTTCATGTCATCGAAAGCTCCGCGTTCCACAGCTCCAATCTGGTTCTCCATCAGCTGCCTGGGAGTCAAAAAGACAGAACAGCTACAGGACGCTAAGCAAGAGTCCCTAGGAACTGCTAGAAAAGGGAAGAACCCCAACAAACTTTGCCAGGGCAACGTGGGCTCAGGAGGGGAGGTGCAGAGCTATTCCCAGGCCCTATGGAGATCCAAGTTCCAGCTGCAATGGTTGGTCACAACTTCACAAACCCGACTCAGGCTCCTCAGCAAGCCGTGCCCTGCAGAGCGACACAGTGCCAGTGCTCACAGTTATGCTTGAAGAAGGTGCTGGGCTTCTGGGCACTTGCTGTCCTTTGGCCCAGAGCATGCATCCATGAGACATGACCAGCATGGAGGAGGAAAGCCTCACAACTTAGTGAAACACACATAAGCAAGAATTCTGAACTTGCCAGACAAACACACACACACACACACACACACACACACACACACACACACACATCTGCACCATAGTCCGCCTTGGACCATCTGCTGAAGAAAGGCGTGGGATGCCCAGGCCAACCAACCACCTGGCTCCCCAGGACTCTGCATCCTCCCCCGCCCAACACGCTCTGCTTCAGAGCATCCGACTGGGGGCAGCATTTTTCAGCTGCGTGATCATTCTGGAGATGCTGGCGCCCTTTCCCCCTGGGCTCTCCCTACTCCACTCCTAAACAGAGGGGTTGCACGTCCCTGGGTGGGCTTCAGGCCGGAGGTGGGGAGGGGGTCTGAGGCCGGGAGTACACTCTTCTCTCTGCTGGAGGCCTGTGGGAGGAGTTCTAAGAAGGGAGGAGAACTCCCCGGACAGAAAGAAGGAAAGCTTTGGTCAATGTGGGTCGGTTCTGCAGCACCAAAGACTCCAGAAACTCATTGGCCCGAACCTCAAAGGGGATTATCCACAAGGTCCTCCACTCCTCCGCAGACCGCCAGAGCTGTGAAGCCTACAGTTCTGAAAGAATTGAGGTCCAGAAATACTGCTCTCACAGTGGGAGGTGAGGGGCTCTCAATATCTGATGATGGGTTGCCTGCTAACCACATGGGGCGGGGCCTCCAAAGCCAACTGAGGTGGCGAGGCCAGATGCCTGCGAGCCAAGGCTGCCTCTGATCCCCAAGATCAGCAGAGCACAGAGGGATGGGGGAGTGGAGGTCTAATATGAGCACCTCACCTTTGCCCAGCCTGACAGGCACTGTGGAGGGCCCAGTGCTGGGAACCAGCAGGGCTGAGCCTTCCCTTCCAGGAACCACTCTCAGACACCTGAATAAAGTCACACCTGCCATCTACTGCCTCTCTCAGGGCCTGCAGCCCTGCTGAGGAGGAGTTCGCTGGAGATGGTGGGCTGCGCTGCGTTCTCTGCCCTTCCATCCAGCCTATGCCCCGCCCACAGCGTCCCACCAAAGGAAGGCGAACTAAGCAGAGACCTAGAGACTCTCTATGCCATTTGATCTTCCTTCATCCCAGAGATAGAAATGGCCAAGACTACCCCATCCAAGCCCTTCTCCATCCCCATTCTTTTCAGCTATGTGGGGGGCAGTAGCCCCTCTGGGTCAGGACACAAAACATCACCCCACTCCACCCTCTCAGGAGGTGCCTGACTCCACAATAGAAGGCCTAACTAGCTTATGACTCTCCCATCCAGAAGTCCAGCTAGAAGTCCAGCTGAGAGTGACAGTAAGAGGCAGCGGAGAGGGGAATAGCAGTCTGTACTCACAGCACTCGGAGCTGCTTGAGTCCAGCGAAGTCATTCTTATGGATCCGAGTGATATTGTTGCCGTTGAGCTCCCTGGCAGAGAAAGGAGAAAAGAAAAAGGTAAAACGAGTGGTCTGGACCCTCAGGGCTCAGCTCAGACTCCCCTCCCCCTGGCTCAGCTCAAGCCATTTGCCTCCCCAGTGAGGTGAAGCCCAGCATTCCTTCCCCCCCCCCCCACCCGCCAAGAAGCCCAAAAAGCTGGGACCTCTGTGCAGCCAATGTCCCTGCAGCAGAAACAGTAAGTGTGGCTCACTGCTGGGGCGTGCAGAAACCCAGAACATGGCTCCACTCTGGGGACTCAGCCTAGGTGGAAAGTCAGGTCACAGAGCAAAGACTCCAGAAATGGGCCGTGGGGGCCATTCAGGGGCATCCTAGTCAAACCGCAGGGTCCCAGACACAAAGCGAAGGGTACCAATTACAACAGCTTCACAGTGTCAAACCAGCACAAACAGGTAAAGACCACAGCTGCCCTTGGGGATACTGCAGTGTCGCCATGGGTGGCAGTGGCTCAGGGCAAAAGTAGGGGAGAGCCACGCAGTGAGCCCGGAGAAGTGAGACCCAAGCTGAGGATCAAAAGACAAGAAGACCTGCCCAGAGAGGCACGGAACAAACCCAAGGAAGAGCCCACAGAGTCAGCCTGAGTGTCTGAGGGGAAGGACAGACACACAGCCTGGGAGCTGGGGGGCTGTGGGTCCAGGCAAACCCAGCGCTTGAGGAAGCAAGCAGAGAAAAAGCAAGGAGCCAGTAAAAGTCTCACAGAGAGGCCCCTGGGGCCTTCCTGAGTCAGCTAGGAGGAGGACATGGTCAAGGAGAGAAGGCTGAGCCTGACACTCCATCCGAGGCCAGATCTCTCCTCTCACACTGTCCTAAGTATCAGTCCTGGTTTGCCTTCCAAGGTTAACTCTTCCCTTCCCTCGGCCCACCTCCAGAAACTAGAACAGATCCTGGTCTTCTGTCCTCATTGGCACACTAGGTACAGACCCCACCTCAGAGGCCATATGGTCTATTCCCACCCAGCCTCCTAGTGCTTGCTCGGTCTCTATTGGGAAACTCCTCCTCCCAAAGGGCCTGCTCAGCTTCAGGAAGGCAGGCCACTCTGAGGGGAAAGTTCTCTCAAGAAGTTTATTACCAGAAAGTTCTTGTGCTGTCTAAGCCACCCCAACACACACACACACACACACACACACACACACACACACACCCCATGTTCAACCCTTCTTCTCACTTAACCAAACAATGGCCAAAAGTTCCAGGTATGGCCATAAGCTCAAACCAGATCCAAGCAACTTTGTTCCAGAGTGCATTGAGAGGTGTGGTCTATATGGTCGCTTCCCTCAAGAACCGTGCCTGTTATTTGCTTCCAGGAACCTAGGGCCACACCTAAGTTGCCTTTGTGACCACAACAGATGAGGAAAGAGCAGTTCCCAGATGCTAGGCACTCTCCCAATGACAACAACAACTGAGAGAAGACAGAAGCCATAGCCATGACCTTCTGACCCTTAGGGCCCAGGCTGTCAATCAAAGTTGACAAGCCGGTGAGTCATTTGACGAATTGCTCTCTGCCCTGCGCCTGCGACTCTCTGTCCCCATCCCTTTTATAGTGGGATCCAAGGGGCTTCAGTGATGCTCCAAGCTTCCAGACAGTCAGCAAGTGCCCCAGACAGAGACACCTCCTCATTCTAACTGCTGTGAGAACATCTTCTCCGAGTCATGATGGCCTTTTCCTACTGATCTAAACAGTCCTTCCTAGAATGGACAACCAATCTGGACCTTCTTTGGGAACCTTTTCGAATTGGTTCCTGAGGGCAGCACGCTAGCCTCCCTTTGAACCGTCACGGTGAAACTTTCCACTGCAAAACCCACAGCACCAGGTCGTTTGGGTGGTTTCATTTTTCTCATTATAAAGGGACATATTTGTTGGTTATAGGGACAAAATAACGGGAACACAGTGTAGTGAAGTTGTACCCCATACGCTCCAGTGTTGAACGCTTGGTTCTCAGCGGGTGGCATTGTTTACAGAGTTAGGGAACCTTTCCTAGATGCAACCTTTCCTTCAGGGGTTCACGACCTCGCTCTGCTTTCAGACCTCTCTGTGTGGATGGAGATGTGATCTCTCAGCGGCTGCTCTGACCACCTGCTGTCATGCCTTCCCACCCATTATGGACTGCCCCGGGTTCCTAAGCCTAAACAAGCTTTTCTATAAGCCTCTCCAGATCATGCCATTTTATCGAAGCAACTGAGAAGTAACCAGTAAAACTCAGATGGTCAGCCATAGAAGCACACTTGGTTGAATTTCAGCACATCCAGAAAATCAAATGCATACTGTGAGCTGCAGACCTGCCTGATGGCAGAGAGCTGCCATGACACAGAATGTGGCAGTGGGTTATAAGACAGCCTGTATTTTTCCAAGTTTCTGGAAAAGAAATAAAAGATGGAAACAGTATATCACTAGGGATAATCCCCATGGACCTTGTCGAATATTTTCCCTTGAGTCTGTTTTTGGTTTGTTTGTTTGTTTGGCTGATTGATTGGTTGGGTTGGGTTGGGTTTGGTTTAATACCGTTTTTGTCTAGCTGAGGTAATCTCTCTCACAAGTATTCATGGAAGACTTCCTAGGGCCATTTTATAAGGCAGCTGACTATAGCGTGTTGCTAGCGCACTGTTGACAGAGGAAAGACAAATGTTAGGACTTAAGCCCCATCCTGCCCCATGTGCGTGCATTCTCCGTGGCCAGAGCTAAGCGCCCCTTCTCTAGGGTGACATAACCTTCCCAGGATTGCCAAGCCCTTGCCCCAGCCGGACTCTTGCTAAAATACAGCCTCTATTCCTCCAACAGGTAGTCCCAGCATGTTGCCATGGAAACCCTCTCCCAGCAGACATGCTGCTGGGACACACACACTCTCCCCCCAAGACCATTGTAGTCAGAGCAGCAGATAGTGTATACACAAGGACAGCTCTCGGGCTCAGGGCTCAGAGGAATTCAGGGTACGGGCTAACATGGGCTCCCCAACACTTTGCCACTGAGGCCCATACCTGCTACTCCTCACCAGTGCCCACAATGTTTATGCCATGGGCCTGCTACAAGCACACTCCAGCCAGCTAGCAGGGAATCTGTTCTTTCCAATCTGCTGATGAGAAAATGGGCACAGAATAGTGAAGCAACTTGCCCAGAGGTGCACAGCAATAGACAGTGGGGCAAGGATGGAACCAGGCCAGAGTTATTTCCCTACACCTCGAAGCCTGACGCTTTGGGTCTCTTCCTGACTCGTCACCCTATGGCCTCAGCCAGCGTAGTAAGACCTGAGACAAAGCCAATGACACATGGGTGCTCTGGAGTCCTATGGTAAGACTCGGCGCTCTGTCTCAGCAACAGTATCAGGAGGCCCCAGCCCACCCAGCTAAGCGTGTTTTCAGTGGGGAAGGACTTGAAAGGGCCTGGAACAATCCATGTTCCACCATCACACTTGCTATGTGGCCTCAGGCATGGAGCTTAACTTCTCAGTGCCTCAGTTTCCTTACCTGTAAAATGAGGATGAAGATGGAGTACCCCTCTTCTAGTGGCGTGGTGGGGTTTAAATGACTTCATATTTCTAAACCACCAAGGACAACAAATGGCCGGCCCACCACTCCCGCTCTCTAGCTAAGGATAACCTGCTGTGATTATTTTGACGATGCTATCGTTGTTTTCCTTAGGGATCATGGGTCCTCAGTGGGTGGAATCGCCAGTCCAGGCTGGTATTGACTGGCAGGCCCAAGAAAAGCAGAAGGAACCAGATGCTCATAGCTCCCACTTGGACTTCAGGCTAAACCAGAGCTAACTCCTACTACAGTTCTCTCTTCCAAGAGTAATGAGCTCAGCCCTGTCAACCCCCAAAGGAGGAGACACGCCCTGGTGGCAAATGCTCCCACTTCTGCCAGTTCCTATATGGCGCTGGGCTAAAATAAAATATTTTGGAGAAAATTCTCTGAAGCAAAGCTATGCAGGGGGGGGGGGGGGGGGCCAGGACACCAAACCGAAAGGAGTTCTCAACTCTTCCCTCCCAGGAAGCAAGAATACTTACAGCATCTGGAAGTTTGTCCAAGAGGCTCAGGCCTGGATCAACCCATCTCAAGAGCCCTGTACTTCCTCACCAGTGTCCCAGTTCTTGAGGGACCAGAACACTCCCTTGGTGGCCCAAGCCTGCAGTGGTGATGAAACAAGAGGCTCTCACTAGGAATGACTAGGGCGCCTGAGCTGCTGGCTGCACCTGGCTCTTCCCTTTGACTCTTCCCTTTGATGCGTGGGTGGGCATCGGGTACTGCCATGGGGAATGCCGAGGGAAGGCTAACCTTCCTCAGTGCTGCCCAAAGTCCTGGGGCACACAGAGCCTGACAAGCCACCTGCAAGTGGACCTAGCTGCCTGCAAGGCCCACCTCAGGCCTCACCCTGTGCCAGGTCCCTCCCTGTAGAGATGCCAGTGGGCTCCCCGCATTCACCCTGGCTCTCCTCTGGTCTGCTCAAAGAGCCACTGCCAGGGGAGACTTTAGTCTGTGAATCTGACCCCATATAAATCCTGGAAGTACTCTTTACCCCCATCACTGCTGGAAATAAGACAAAACCTCTTACCATGCATTACAAGCTCCCCATTGCCTGCCCTGCGGGATTCCCGACCCCCAGCCCCACTGGTCTCCAGAGCCCTGTGGCAAAGCCTTTGAGCCTGCCTTCCCCTCTACCTGGGAGGACCTGCCCTCTCTTTGGCCTAATTTATTCCAGCTTTCCCTTCCTGGTGGCAAACCTTTCTCTCCCAGGGCCACAGAGCCATCCTCTACTCCACAGCGCAAATCAGGGATGGTTTTACAGGGATTTGAAGGAGTCTTGAACTGATGTCACAGCCCCTCCCCCCCTGCAAGACCAGAAGCTTCTGAAAACACAGGCCAGGTTGTTTTATTGACTTGGTTTTTTGTTGTTGTTGTTGTTTTTTGTTTGTTTGTTTGTTTTTTAATTTGCCTTCCTCAGCTCTTCCAGGGTCTAACACCCATGACAGGTTTCAGTA